TTCTAGAGCTCTAGCCCATGGGATTCTTCTGAGGAGGTCTCTGAAGAGGCTAAAGTTGGCCCTCCTGAAGTCCACAGTTACAAGGCTGCATACAGCCCTGCTTCCTCCTCGTTGGATCCTGAACTCCACCAACTCATAGTCACTGCAGCCAAGGCTACCCCTGACCTTCACCTCTCCTACAAGTCCCTCTCTATTTGATAGCACGAGATCCAGTAGCCCACCTCTCCTTGCTGGCTCCTCCACAGTCTGTGTTAAATCCTGGTCAGGTGGCCGGTAGCAGACACCCACCACAGTGTCTCCCACATTAGCCTGCCCTCTAATCCTTACCCACAAGCTCTCAACTCGCTCATCCTCGACTCCCAGGTTGAGCTCCATGCATTCCAGTTGCTCTCTCACATAAAGAGCAACTCCACCACCTCGCCTTCCCAGCCTGTCCTTCCTAAAGAGCACATAGCCTTCCATGGCAGCGCTCCAGTCGTGCGAGCTATCCCACCACATCTTTGGGATTCCAATGAGATCATGACACTGGGACCGCCACAGATCTCCAGTTCCTCCTGTTTATTCCCCATGCTTCACACATTGGTGTACAGGAAATTAAAGGAAGTAATCAAGCCTGCAGGTTTCCTGGGAGGAGTGAAAGAGGACCCTCTATAATTATCTCCTATACTCACTTCCCCACTACCATACCATACTCCTTTTGGATGCCTGCCAGTGATTTCCCTGTCCATGTAACACGCTCCTTCCCATTTCATGCTTAGTTTAAAAGTCCTCCTAACCAGGCTGGCCAACCTTTTGGCAAAGACGCGTGTGACCCTCTTGCTGAGGAGGTTCTCATCATTCCCCACCAGCTGGTGGTCTTCAAACAGAGTCCCATGGTCATAGAAACCAAAACCCTGTGACCAAGACCAGTGGTGCAGCCAGTTGTTAACCTGTAATATTCACCTTTTCCTCCTCATTGGCAGGAGGGAGGAGAACACAACCTGGGCATCCAGACCTTTGACTGCCATCTCTAGGGCTCTGAAATCCTGCTTGATCAGTTTCCCCATAGCATTGTTAGCGCCCACATGAAACACTAACAGGGGATAATAGTCAGATGTCTGGAAAAGCTTTGGCAGACTCTCTGCAACATCCCTTATACGAGCCCCTGGCAGGCAACAGACCTCTCTGGATAAGGGGTTGGGTCTACAGATCTGTGCCTCTGTGTCCTACAGCAGGGAGTCACCCATGACGATCACCCACCGCTTCTTCCAGGTGATATTATGCACTAAGAGGTAAAATTCCACCTCCATGTGAGGAAGAACTTCTTTGCTGTGAGGGTGCCAGAGCCCTGGAACAGGCTGCCCAGAGAGGCTGTGGAGGCTCCTTCTCGGAGATCTTCAAACCCACCTGGATGCCACCCTGGGTGTCCCTGCTGGAGCAGGGGGGTTGGACTGGATGATCTCCAGAGATCCCTTCCAACCTCAACCATTCTGTGAGTGAGTGAGTGTGTGTGTGTGCTCCTTTTCTCCTTAGTGGGGGAAGTTTTAAGATGCAGACTTGACTGCCTCACCCTAGACAACCCCCTAGATGGGCCTTGGTCCTTGACCTCATCTGTCTGGTCCTCACATTCCAGGGCCTCATACCTGTTGGATGTAGTCATTTGTGGGGGCGAGGTGAGCTGGGAAAGGGCCCTCCTGCCACCTCGAACAGGGATATGTTCCCATTCTTGTTCATGACTCGACACCGTTACTTCTGCCCCCTCCACTCTACGGCAAGGGGGTAGTGGATTATCAGACCAAACCAGGGGGCTCTGGGTGCACTACCTGGGACTATTGCAGAGTGTGGCTCCACCAGTCTATTTCTTTCTCACACTCCCCTATGCTCCTCAACCTTTCCACCTCCTCCTTCAGCTCCACCACCAGGCTAAGCAGGTCATCCACCTGTACACACCTAAGGCAGGTGTTATTTTTGTTATTCCCTGACAACATGGAGAGGTTCAGACACTCCCCACATCCGGAGACCTGCACTGCCGCATGTTTCTGTGGTGCATCGGTCTGCGTCACCACAGTCTTTCTGGCAGAGGCTCTCTGCTGAGTAGACATGCCTGAATTACCACCGAATCTCCTATCAAACACTGTTGTGGGGTTTGCTGGACTTCAGTCCCCCTGCCTGCTCACAGCATAGCTCTAAAGCTCAGCATTCAGATACTTCATTTGCAGATCTTCCCTCGTAAGTTGTAGAAATCTGCATTTTGCTCAGCAGTGAGAAGAAACTGTGCACTAACGTACAGTGGAAATGACTGACAAGCATAAGCCACAGTACATCCGCTTAGAGAGAAACAAGGAGACACTTTAGTAAGTTACTCCAACATTCATTTCAAAGCAGCTACTGTTGTAGTGTCCAAAAGCTAGATTTGAAAAAAAAAAAAATCAAGAATGAGAACCAGCCCCACAAAGAAACTGAGCAAAAACCTTTAAAAAGAAGGCTCTCACTCACTCAGTTCCTCAAAAGCTGTAACAAAATACCTTATTGCCCACCAAGCTACTCTTCCTGCTCCCTACAATGTAAGGTAGCATAATAAAGTAGTTTTCTCAGCCTTTTTATCAAAATGAGACTCTCAAAGCTCAAAATTACTGAACCAAGCTACTCCCCCAATCTCAAACACCTTCAACCAACACCAGACTTACTGCTTTGTTTGTTTTTCCTGCTTTCTGGCACTACAGGATCATTCCTTAAAACTCACCAAGTTAACAAAAAGACTCCTGTTGATTTCAGCACATAATGCATAATATGAATTCTTGGATGGAGTGTTGCATCTGTTACACTTAAATTATTCAAACAGTAAAACCCATTTAATTACACAATTGCAAACTGTGCATCTTATATCCTCTCACTGGCTATCGGACTCACAATAAAATCCCATTAATTGCAACTTAACATTGTCAGGATAAAACACATCCAGACCTGTTTGGGGCTTTCCTTTGTGGACGATTTAAATTCTGTTGTCTTCCCAGGTAAGGTTTTTGACAGCGGTCGCTGCACTGTCTGATGTTTGATCCTTGGAAGAATCTGAGAAGAGCTTGCTGCCCTACAACACAAAAAAATCATGTCCTGAAAGGCTTTTACAACTTAAAAAGCACAGGTTTCAGATAAATTGTTTTAGGCCAACTCTGTCTTGCTTAAAGGATTGATTTCAACCATAGTGAAGTGCAAAGATCATTGCTTTCAAACACTCCATCCTACCTTATCCCACAGTACAGAAACTTTAGTAAATCGTCTCCATTTGGAAGAGAGTTCTTTACTTTCTTCTAAACAATACAGGAAAATATAGTGTGTGATCAGCATGATTCTAGGCTAATTTAGGCAAGTTTAGGATTCCCCACTTTTTTCCTACATTGCATGTTGCTCTTGGAGGAAAATTTTCTGCACAGCACATGCCCCATGCTTTCTCTTACCTTCTTGGCTTTCCTCCAGCTCTCAGTTGCTGTTTATTTTCTGCTGTGGCAAAATTAATATTGAGAATATTAACATAATATAATTAATATTAGTATTAACATAACATAATCTGGACATAATTAAGATTATAAGAAAGACAACTTGATTTTTTTACTTTTAAAAATATATTTGAGCACATATTAATGCCTTCAGAAATGCATACATGATTATAAGCAATCAAACCTGCGAAAATGCTTTGAAAACAGAACCAGTATTTGAGAGATCTGTTTTCAAAGTTCAATCTTAGCTTATTTTTTGATCCATTTAATTTTTGGTTTCCCTTGTCATATTTGAAAACAAATGTAATTTTCACAGTAAAATGGGCCCTACCACAAATCAGATTAAGCACAACAGACTACAGAATGATTATTTAATGCTAATAAACTTTTCCCCTTAACAAATTAGGATGTAGAAAGTAGCCTCAGTGTTAGTACATCTATCATGTTCAACAGAGCAGGACAGCAAAAAGGCTACATTGCAATCATGATTACAAAACTTAAGTTTTTGTTGTCGTTGTTTGTGAAAATTTCAGCCAAAGTAAAGTTTTTTCACAAAGGTGTATTTTAAAGGTGTATTTTAAAGGTGTATTTAATCAAAAATAGAACTGACATAATATTCCTACCCCATTAGAGGAAAAAAAAGAAAAATTATGCCATCATACTTTGCACTCACATTTGGTATTTTCCAATACCAAAGTATATATAAGGGCAGGAAAATACCATCATCTTGTTTGTTTAGAAGGAAAAAAAAAAAAAAGAAAGAAAAAGTAGAAGAAAGGTTGAAACTCCTCATGTCTCTTATTTCTATGTCCTAAGTGCTAGAAATACACCCCTAACATGAGAGATTTCAAACATTAAACAGAGACATGCATGAGAAGCACAAGTACTTCAGGTAAATACCCTTTTTAAGCTTTGAGAGAAAATAATAATAATAATAAAAAGCTTTCTTCTTGAAACATAGGCACATACCAGTGTCTAGGACTTTTTTAGTAATCTTAGGATATTTTTGAAATTTTACAAAGTAATAGCTTTCATATTCCATCAAAATTGTCTCAAGATCAATGTTGTCACAAACTTCAAAGCCACGTAAACCTAATTTTGTCTCTTGTTCCAAAGCATTTGCAGCATCTATATACCTGGTAAGTTTGAAAAAAAAAAAAAAAAAGAAAAGAAACAACAACCCAAGAGTCATTATCTTATTCTGATCTTTGAGAGAAAACACAAACAGTGACAACCATAAGTATATGCTGTTTCAAGGATGTCCATATCTATTCATTACAAATGCCATGAACTGTACATAAAAGTCCTTTGCTGAGAACTTAAAACTGACAGAGCATATTTTGTTCCAGAAACTGAAATGAATTAAAGTAAATGGTCAAAGTATTTATTGGTAGTTTACCTTTCTAATCTCCCTCACATAGAACCAACAGGCCATGCTGTACATCCACCCAGTAGAGGGAAAAATTACATTTTACAGACAAGCAAATACTTGTAGGGCACTATTATTTAAAAGACATACCCTTCCTCCGTTAAATAATGCAAAATTAGAATGAGGAGATTTTTTCGACGAGCTTCTGTGCGCATCTCTTCCTGTGGATTAAAACAGAAGTCTAGATCAAATGTAATATTCTCTTTACTGCTGTAAACAGCATCTAAATGTAGCCTGTGGAGACAAAGAAATTAAGACAACAGCATCTCAGAACTGTAAAACAACACACTTAATAAACACAAGTGATTTTCAACGCGTTTCTTCTTACACGTTATCAGGATCCTGGATGGGGACAAAGCTTTTCCCAGAGGAAATAAAATTACCTTGAGGTTGGAAAAAATAAGTTATTTTCCTTACTGTGACTCTGGTCCTCCAACAGGTCTGGGATCCGCATGACTACACTGCAAAGCCCAGCTCAGCACTGTAGGCACCTACCATTTCATGTGCCTCAATACATCAATCATGTACATCAATGCATCACAAGCAAAACACAGAATACTTGAAGAAATACTAGCTTTAGATAAAGCCAGACTTGCCTAATTTTAACAAAGACATGATATAAGCAAAGCCTATAATGCAGAAATTCCACTATGGCACCAATCTCATTGATTTCTTCAGAGATTTGGGTGACCAAAGGCATTGCTGCTTGGTTCAGCTATAAGAGCACAGCAAAGTAAAACATATTGAGCAGTAGATGTTTCCAAATCTGCATTTAGACAAATAAATGATTTCTGGTCTCTTTTAGGATGCTGGCATCCATAAGGGTTTTCTCTTGAAATGCAGCTTCATTACAGCAAACTGCAGATAGGGAAGTTCTGGGTGGTGGAACATGCAAACCAGTTTCCCTTGTGAGTTTAGAGGCGCCTGCTGCATCTTGCCCTGCACACTATATATGATACCATGGAGCAACATCCTGCTACTTTACACATCTCAGGCAGCACAACCAACCTACCTTTTATTTTGAGACTAATGCTTATCTGTGTGTCTGCTAATCTGCAAAAAGTACTGGCCAAAACATGGAAAAAAAGTCTCCTGGTGTGGCATCTTTTTCTTTTTCCCCCAAGGATGTTTGTTCAGATGTGGTGCCACCTAGCGACACAATTAGGAAAGGGCTAGGCTTTGCTTTTAACAATGTAGCTGTGGAGTTAAAAGTTTATTTCTGTTTCGAATATTAACAACAAAAAAAGACTCAAAATTTTCGTTTTGATTTTTTAGACAACAGAAGACAACCATCTGAAAAAAACGGAAAAAAAAATTTCTCATCTCTCACCTTTGCTTTTTATCGTCTTGATAAAACTGCACAAGCATTATGTTTCCCTATGCTGAGGAAGGTGCAATACCATTTGCAAAGATGATTTCTATAGAGTATTTTAAGAATTGAGAGTGCTCAAAGAATGAAAAATACTTATTAAATATATATATTTATTAACTAGATGAGTTCCAGAGAGCTTCTGCAAGAAGAAATTGACCAATTCTATACAGAGGCACATGCAAATTAAAAGCAAAGAAAAAGCAGCAGCACCCTGGGATAAAAGAATCTCTCCTTCTCATTGTTCCAGTATTTGCAAACTGGTATTTGGAAAACATAATTTGAATTGCCATCCTCCTGCTATTTCTCCTGGGTGACTTCAGTCATCTGACACAGAGTTTGAGGGGTGAGAGCGAAGCTGGAGTCACTACTCGGACATCTAAATGCAACTGCTCGTGCAGATTTATTCCCGAGAAACATCTCTGCTGTGTCTGCCCACATATCAAGGGCAAGATCGCTAGCGCCTCTGAATATTAAAAAACTACAGTAGTTGCTGCAGAGCACAGACATATCAAGATTTAATGTTTGAGTATTTACAGGAGCACTGATGAGGGAGGAAGTTTATCTGTGTGATAAACTGGTAGGTGTTTGGAAGACTCCTTGAAAAAAAATCTGCATTCTGGTGCATCTCCTGCCGTTAATCCCCCCAGGTTCCTTCTGCTATCCCTAGGGACATTTTAAATCCTCATCTAGGCAGGCATACAGTGAAAAGCAGCATCTCAAATACTCTTCTAGGTACAGACTTGAGCTGAGCAGTATAGGATGACACAGTTTGAGCAACCCCCTTCAACCTTAACATATTCATGGTCTTGTTGCATTGATTGAGCAGTAGCAAAATTGAACTTCTACATCAGAAAAAAAGTGCCCAAGTGAGCAGCATTTTAAAAGGAGGAAGTAGTTTAGGCTGAGTGGTCCATTCTATCTTTATCTTCTATTAATAAGAATGCAAACTTTGATGGATAATTTGGAGAGGCAGACATCCATCCAAAGAAAATTAAATGAGCCATCAAAACAGTTAATCAATTGACAACAACTTGCTTAAGATTAGATCTGAAAAACAGAATGGAGATATCAGTCTCTGATCCCAGCTAAATCAAAGAGAACTTAAAGCCCTTTCCCAATGTAACTGCTATCAAGTCAGAGATCTGACTCACTTGAGCAGGGACCATGGCTTTCTTGACAAAGTCCAAAGTTGCTCTCCGTGTTTTTCCCAGCTTTATCTCTACCAAATTCCCCTGTCTTCTCCAAGTGTCAACGCTGCCAGCAACCTTAGATCCCTGTTGAAACAACTCACTGCCTGTGCCGCTCTGCTTTCCCAGGCTCCATTCCCTACGAATTCTCCTCACTCCAAATTCTCCTACAAAACAACCCTTCTGCCAAAGTACAGACAGGTACTAAACTACATAGGACTTCAGCTGTATTTAGAGAGGAAATGGTGAGTACTATATTGCATGAAAAAATAGGAGCACTTACCAGTACAAAGTTACTTAAAATTCAGTTTAGCTTTATAGTGATTTACCCTCCCTCTTTAATTAGTACTTAGAATTGCATGTTGTTTATAGCCACTGGTATTTAAGTGTTTAAAGTTTAATAAGCTCCCATTCTTAAACACAAAAAAAAGTATGTAATTAAATTTTCAATTACTATAGAGGACTTTCGGGCCCACGCAATTAATAAAAGCTTAAGGCACTTAAGCGTGATCTTGTTTTAAAAGCTAAATAGTTGAGCACTTAACTAATTACCTACAACACTTACAGTGTATTTTATTTATTTCTAGCTTAACAAAATAGAGTGCTATGTACTACTATTTTTGCAGTCATTTAAAATTAAACTCTAATAGAGTCATGCATCTTTCAGTGCAGTTATCCACTTTGTCATTTCCATACCTTTTACTAAAACAGATTTACATTAAAAATCAACCTAGTCTTATGGGTAATCCCATCAAATTATTTCTGTTATTTCTGCATCATTAGGTAAAACTGCCTAAAGAAAGAACAGAGTTACAAACTAAATCTAAAAGTTTAGAAATGACAACCATATCACTTGAAATTGGTGCCCCTGCACATTCAACTGGGGCAGCAAGTAGGACAGGAGCTCAGCAGGATGTGTGATCAAGAACCTAAAGGCGTAACAAACAAACAAACAACAACAAAACAAAAAACAGTGCAACCAACAGTCTCATCCCACATTTTTTCCTCAATACAAGTTACAGCGTAGCTAGCACGAGCATCCTGTTTTAGCTACAAGACTAACCTAGCAGGCCAAACTTATCCAACAACGGTGATGGGGCAACAGTAGGTGACAAGGCGCTCAGATGGAAATTAATCTTTCTCAGTCATGCAGGATTTATCCCCCCCATAGAGGGTAAAAATGATTTTGCTGTCAGAGAAGGAGAATGGGACACAGGAGCGAGAGCAGACAGCAGAACTCACTTACAATAGTGCCCTTTCTCTCTTTTTCCTTCGGTATCCCAGGACAACTGGCAACCGTGGTGTTTCCTAGAGAGCAGGCTGCCACACTGGCACTCAGTATCAGGCCACGAAGCACAGCTGTGGGACCATCAACTCACCCTTTTTTTTTCCCCGGCATCACCCCAGATCACCCTCCTTCTCTTCCTCCCCCCATAGCCTTTTGCAGCTTCCAGTTGCAGCTTTGCCATGTTTTTTAGAAGATTGATGTTCAATTATTGTTTGGCTTCCTGACAATGTTTTCTGAGAAACACAAGCGGAGAAGGGAAATGGTAATTTTTAAACCGCGTATTACTTGGCTATGATTGAATAGAATTCCACAGTACAAAGGCAAAGCGCTTCTTTAGTCTCCTCTCTCTTTCAGATTATATAATCCAGCAACAGAACAATAGAGCTGGCAAAGTTTCTCAAGAGGGATAACTAATAGTTTTCACAATTAAAAGCATACAGCAAGCTAAGCACAGAAGTTATAGCTGTCCTAGTGCTAACACTGAGATGCATTCAAGAGATGTTACATTTAAAATCTAAATACTTTTACAATTTGGTGCAATGAAAACAAGTCTGATTTCCCCAACTAAAGCAACAGTTTTAAGATGTGTGTCATTAACTCATGCTCCCCAACAGGCACTCCCCCCAGCCCCACTCACTGACTACTACTATCTCCTTTTGCAATAAACTTTCCCGAAGTCTGGTACTACATTGCCAAGACCTCACTAACCTGAAGTGATACGTATTGTGAAAACACATAAAAACGAATAAACACAAAATACGGCGAGTTACTAAACAGACTATAAAGGTGTTGAATTTGTTTCCTAAGTTTACAAATGAATTAATAATCACTATCTCTAACCACTCATTTGTGCCAGTTAGCAAAGTTCTACCGCAGTTTACATCAACACTACTTTTAGAGACTAATTCACACATGAAATCTTTAACATCCTCAAGGATGTGAGGTATATGTGTATGTACTAGCAAATCAGGGCAGAGTGCTGGATGCATCCAAAAGGGAAAACATCCTGCAAGCCCTTTCTCTTAGACATTTTCCTTCCCTGGCTGGTGCATGTTAATAACCTAGCCCTCTGCCACAATTCAACCAAATACAACTAACACAACTAAAGCCAGCTGAGACAAGCAAGAGACAACTCTTGAGAATCCCATAAAGCCTCAAAAAAGTGCTGCTTTCACATGATTCCACCTCAAATACATCACTCTACATTGCCATCCTCCCCAGTTTGCGGTATCTTGGATGCCCTGCTTGTTTCCAGATGGAACATCGAGTTCACAGGAGAAGTGCGCAGTCACTCCTCCAAGCATGAACTGTCATTAGAAGTGATATACCCGCTATTCTTCCTTCCATCTTTTCACCTTTGATTTCAGCCCAATTTAGCCCTCATCTTGCCTCAACTACAAAAACCCTGGTAAATCTGAGGACACTGGTC